CATGAAGTGGGCTTGAACCTGGCATCTCAAGCATCCTGCGATACTCTTTTAACTGCTAAGCTACTGACCGGTTCACTGAAAATTATTGGAAAAAACCTTATGTTACTAATATCAATAAGATGTAATATATGGTATTTTTATAACAGCCATTAATGGCTGCCAGAAAAAAATTTATGATGAAATGAACGAGTGTACTTGTTGGGATTTGAACCCACAGTGTATGAACTTGTTGGCAAATGCAGTTACCACTGTGCCAATGGTAACCTTGCTTAAAGCATTTACAATATTAACCATTAAGCTGCAGAGTTTCCCCACTGAAGAGTAAAATTGTTTGGCCTTAGACAAATAAAAAGAATAAGTGGGGCACAATTAGGCTCAATGGGTTAGTTAACCTTTGAGTGGCAATATGCCATATATAATTCACCCTACATTGCATGGCAGTACTCTCCCCTTGACTTTGACGAGTAAAATGGACTGGCGTTAGACAGAGTAAAATTATAAAGTGGGCTACATTGACTACATTCTTGCACAGACATGGGCTAATAATGGTTGAACAGTTTTTCAATATTTACATTGAATGGTTGTGTGCTGACCACTTACCGTCAACATGTCCACATAGAAAATGAACCAACCAGGTAGTGTTTATAACATTGACTGTTTTAATCAACACTGCTAGCTTTTGTCAACAGCCTTTTTTCATGATGAAGAAACATTTTAACCTTATTTCTGAGATATTGCCATCTTTGTGAAAGTTTTTGAATTCAAAGAAGAATCCGCCATATTGCTTGCCGCTTAGGGGGTAGAAACATTGTAACAGCTTGCAGCCTAATGAGCTAATGCCAGACGATTTTACTCCTCTGATAACTGATCAGTGGTAGACTACTGAAAGTTATTAACCCATTGACTGGCAATACACCCAAATGTGACCTACTTTAGTATTTACTTTGTCTAATGCCAGACAATTTTACTCTTCAGTGGTAGAGTACTGCCAGTAAATGGGTTAAACAAACCTATCTGCCAATGTCTCTTATTAACCCATTGATTGGCAATACACCCAAATGTGCCCTACTTTCAGTTCAGTAAGTATTTACTTTGTCTAATGCCAGACAATTTTACTCTTCAATGGCAGAGTACAGCCAGTAAATGGGTCAAACAAACCTATATCTGCCAATGTCTCTTATTAACCCATTGATTGGCAATACACCCAAATGTGCCCTACTTTCAGTTTAGTAAGTATTTACTTCGTCTAATTCCAGACAATTTTACTCTTCAGTGGTAGAGTACTGCCAGTAAACATTAAACAAACCTATCTGCTAAAGTCTCTTATTAACCCATTGACTGGCAATACACCCAAATGTGCCCTACTTTCAGTTTAGTAAACAGTATTTACTCTGTCTAATGCCAGACAATTTTACTCTTCAATGGCAGAGTACCGTCAGTAAATGGGTTAACTAAGTGGACTCACCATTCTTTCTACAAAATATCATTCTAGACTGTGGCATCAATTGACACTAAAGTTGCTGGAATTTGTCAAAAATGATTATTTTGCAAGCAATGGAGGATTACTAGATGTATGTCAGGAAATTTTATTGTAACAATTATGGTATTTGTCCTGTAAGAAAAAACTAAAAAATTTAAAAATATATGTTTGTGAATTATTTTGTATTTTTTTCAGTTGTACGAGAATTTCCTTTCTGATTTTGAAAACAAGTAAGTCACTGGCTCACCACAAATTTCATTATGAGAGCACAATTATATATAGGAGCCATGACTTTCCTAATTTTATACAGGGTTCCAGATGATTTTTGCCATGTTTACCATGGAGAATCATCTGCTATTTCACCAGGTTATAATGTAAACTAAAATTTCCCTCCTTACCAAAGAAATATCACACAAAAGATTTCTTGCTAGTATAAATTTTACACAATATTCTTTGCTAAATATTTGGATATGATAAAATCTACAAAATAACTGGAAATGCCATTCTGAAATGTATTTCAAAATCGTAGACGCCCTTGAACCCCCATTTGGTGAGAAACCTTTGACACCATGTAGCCTCTTACTTCTTTAAAAAAACCTCCTGTAAATTGTATTGGAAAGCTTGTTTAATTGCAGCAAAACAGTTGTGTATTTTTATTGCAGAATTAATCCGTTATCGTTAATGGAAATTATAATGTGTGTGATGAAAGAAATCGAGGGTATTTATACATTTGTATAATGGTCGGGGGG